TAGGGTTTAGTCGAATTTACCATAGTTTAGGATAGGACATGGGCGTATTAGGGTTTAGGGTTTCCTAGGGTTTAGGGTTTACAAGGGTTTAGTGCTGAATAGAGTTTCGGCTTTCTCAGGTTTTAGAGCTTACTAGGGACTACGGCGTGCTAGGGTTTAGGGCGTATGAGGGTTTAGGGTTTGCCAGGGTTTAGGGTTTATGAGGGTCTAGGGTTTATGAGGGTTTAGGGTTTATGAGGGTTTAGGGTTTTTGAGGGTTTAGGGTTTATCACCTCAATGAGGGAAAAGTGAGCCTTGAAGGTCTTGGAGGCAAGCCACTGCTCAACTTGGTAGCCGCTGAATTTGTGTTGACTGGCGAGCTGCAGCAGCAGCAGCAGCAGCAGCAGCAGCAGCAGCAGCAGCAGCAGCAGCAGCAGCAGCAGCAACAGCAGCAGTAGCAGCAGCAGCAAGAACTTGAGGGTTTCTTCTGATTCATCCCGTTTACTGGGGTTTGGGGTTTGCTAGGGTTTAGGGTTCGCTGGTGCTTTGCTCAGCGGATTCAAACCGCTGCTGCTGCTGCTGCTGCTGCTGCTGCTGCTGCTGCTGCTGCTCCGCACAAAGAAAATATTCTTTTAAAATTATTTATGGACAGCCGCATGCAACAAAAGAAAATAAACAAAGAAGTAGAAAATGGACATTATTTATTTGTGGGGCCAAAACAACTTTTGCAAATAAATTAAATAAATCAAATAAAACAAATAAGTAAATAAATATGTATTTGCGGCGTTTAAATGTTGCAAATAAATCAAATAAATCAAATACAACAAATAAAATAATAAATCGAATAAAATAAATAAATAAATAAATATGTGTTTCCGGAACTTGAATATTCAAAAGACTCGGGGAACCCGAAACCCTAAACCCTAAACCCTAAACCCTAAACCCTAAGAGTGGCGCACAGCAGCAAATTTGCTGCAGCAAATGTTTTCATTTTTAGACCTTTTGCGCATTTTACATTTAAACAAAAGATGAAAAATAACAAAGCTGCTGATTAACTCCATTTGATTTAAATTCTATTTTAATTAATTTAATTAATTTAATTAATTTTATTCTTATTTGTTTTTTAATTTCTTTGGATTCTCACCCTCAAGAAATCTGTAAACTCAACTCTCCTGGCTTTGTCAATGTCTGCTTGCTCCAGCAGCTTTTCGCCGCTTGCTGTTGCTGCTGCTGCTCCCCGCTGCTGCTGCAGCCGCTGCTGCTGCTGCTCCTCGCGCTGCTGCTGCAGCAGCGCAGCGCGCTGCAGCCGCTGCTGCAGCAGCCGACGCAGCAGCGCAGCAAGAGTCGCCCAGCCTCCTGTAGCCAACGCGGTGTACCTGCAGCAGCAGCAGCAGCAGCAGCAGCAGCAGCAGCAGCAGCAAAGTGTGGGGCTCGCCAGCTGCATGCAATTGCAGCAGACATTTGGAATTAAATGCATTTTCGTTTTATTTCTGATATTCATTTAAAGACTTTTTAGCTTTTAAAGTTTATAAAAGTCTTTTTATTCATTTTGCAAAAAGCAGCAAATATGCAGAATTGCAAAACCACAACAAGCAGCAAAATGCATTTTTAATTTTAAAAAGAATTATCTTTTTTGCTGCTGCATTTAATTTAAAAAAGTTCAAAAATGAAAAAACTTTTCCAAAAGTGTCTTCAAATGGATCTTTTTGAAAACAGCAGAATGCAAAAAGTCAAGAGCAGCAGCAGCAGCAGCAGCAGCAGCAGCAGCAGCAGCAAAACGGCATTTTCGAATTTTTTCGGAATTTGGATTAAAATACATTAAAGTGAACCGGAGAAAAAATAAAATAAAATGAAATAAATTAAAAATAAACAAAAAGGATTTAAAAAGCAAAAAAGAACAAAATTGGAACCAAAAAGACAAACCTCGCGAACTCCCGCGACAGCTTCTGCTGCACTGCGAACTTTTGCGAAGATATGAAAGAAGACAAAACAGCAGCAATTGCAAAGTCCACATCCAAAGAAGAAACTGTCGGAGACAGTCGCATTTTCGCGTTCGCCTCCGATATCCGCAGCAAAGACTCCACGTGCCTGCAGCAGCAGCAGCAGCAGCAGCAGCCGCAGCAGTAGCGGTAGCAGCAGCAGGGGTAGCAGCAGCGGCGGTAGCAGCAGCAGCAGTAGCAGCAGCAGCGGTAGCAGCAGCAGCAGTAGCAGCGGTAGCAGCAGCAGGGGTAGCAGCAGCGGCGGTAGCAGCAGCAGCAGTAGCAGCAGTAGCAGCGGTAGCAGTAGCAGCGGTAGCAGCAGCAGCGGTAGCAGCAGCAGCGGTAGCAGCAGCAACGGTAGCAGCAGCAGCGGTAGCAGCAGCAGCAGTAGCAGCAGCAGCGGTAGCAGCAGCAGCAGCTGCACGGATAGCTACAAAGTGAGAGAAGGGAGTGTGCAGGAAGCAAAAGGAGATGCCGCAGCGCCAGATGAAAAGAAGCAAACAGATAGACCCAAAACCCTAAACCCTAAAATAGGGTTTAGTCCAAGAGTTGCCACCTCAGAGACAAGAAGAAACCTTGAAGAATACTTTAACTAGTTATTGCTTCCTCAACCCCGAAAAGCTAAACCCTGAAACGTGGTTTGCTGAGCTCGCTCCCCTTCAAACCCTAAACCCTAAAAAAGGGTTTCGCGGCTAGAGAGTCGCCTCAGCTGGTGCGTTCTTGCACGCTAACCCCTAGCACACAGAGCCCCAAATTCTAGCCGCTATCGACCAAACCCTATTTTAGGGTTTAGGGTTTATTACCTCAGAGTCAAGGGAAGACCCCCCGAAGCTGCAGCACGGCGCCGCAGCTTCGCGTAGAAAGAAGACAGTTTGCTGCTGAGGGCGGGAAGGGAGCAGTCAAATGTGGGGTGGCAGTAGGCCCTGCAGCAGCAGCAGCAGCAGCAGCAGCAGCAGCAGCAGAAGGGGACCTTAGTGTGAGCAGTTTATAACAAACTCATAAGCTACATTTACTTGCTGCTAATGCTGGTGGCAGATCGGCAGCTGCTGCAGCAGAAACAGCAGCAGCAGCAGAGGCACCCGCAGCAGAAACAGCAGCAGCAGCAGAGGCAGCAGCAGCAACGACAGCAGCAGCAGCAGCAGCAGCAGCAGACCTTGCGTAGAGAATATATTTTTGCAGCAGCTCCTGGTCAATGGGCTCGTGGGCCTCCAGGGCTTTCATTTGTGTCTCCAGGCGCTCCATTTGCTGCTGCGGCAGCTGCTGCAGCAAAGAGACTGTGGGGTGGTGCAGCTGGTGGTTGCTCAGCACATACTGGGCCAGCGCAAAGTCCTCGTCCGCGTCAGGCTGCAGCAGCAGCAGCAGCAGCAGCAGCAGCAGCAGCAGCAAGGGGCAGAGGCATTAGAAGCAGCAGGAGGCAGCAGCAGGAGGAAACAGCAGCAGCAGCAAGGGGCAGGGGCATCAGAAGCAGCAGGAGAAAGCAGCAGCAGCAGCAAGAGACAGTTGCGGCAGAAGCAGCAGGAGAAAGCAGCAGCAGCAGCAAGAGTTTGCAGCAGCAGAGGCAGCAGCAGCAGCAGCAGCAGCAGCAGCAGCAAGGGCAAAACGACGAAAATCAGCTAAAAAAATCAGCAACGACAAAAAGTAGAAGCGAATAAATGCATCAAAACGAATCAAAATAAATTAAATTAAATTAATAAAATAAAATAAATAAAATTAATTAAATTAAATTAAATTAATTAAATTAAATTAATTAAATTAAATAAATAAATAAATTACAATATCTCTCAAGACACAAATGAGGTCAAAGCGCGACAAAATTGGATCGCTGAGATCCACATTTTCTTTGAAGGTGTAGGAGGGGATATAGCGGCCTGAAAATAAATAAATAAATAAATAAATAAATAAATAAATAAATAAATAAATAAATAAATAAATAAATAAATAACAAAATAAATAAATAAATAATAATTATAATTAATTATTTAAATTTAATTAATATTATTTAAATCAACAGTTATTCCAAATCTGTGAACTAAGGCGCTTCGCCTTTCACCAGTTGATCATGCAAATGCACAACGAAGCGCCACAGCAGCAGCAGCAGCAACACAGCAGCAGCAGCAACACAGCAGCAGCAGCAACACCCTCCCCCCACCCGCCCCCTGCCTCCAGCAGCAGCAGCAGCAGCAGCAGCA